CTCATTCATTTGTTACCCTGTTGACATGTAACAATGTCCAACTTGCTGACTTTTGCCCAAATGATAAATTATAAAGTAGCATAGTATTTTAATTTGAAGTTCCCTGGTCTCTAATAAGTTGAGGCATCTCTTTATGTATTTGCCAGCTAGCTGAGGATGTAGCTCAGTGACAGAACACTTACCTATATGTACAATGCTGTTCAAGTTTCCAGTGCTTTGAATGGCAATTTAGTTTCTGTGTACAATTTTCTATATTGGGAAGTTCATTGCAAGTTTTTAACTTCGAGGTGCCTGAAAATTACCTGAGGATCTGGTTAGGATTCGGTAAAGGTAGATGGGGCTCAGGATTGTGCATTTAATAAGCACAGGTGTTTCAGAAACCTTTGTCTTTGAACCCATGCTTTGGGTAGCTACGTTTTAGATGCTAATTTGAGACTTTGCAAAAAAAAAAAAAAGACTCCTTCCAAATTTGCTCTTCTTGTCTAGGTAATCAAAGACTTGATTAAGTAATCAAGGATTTGTTTCACAAGACCTTCATTCCTCATGGGTTGCAATGATTCTCTTCTCTATTAACTTTGTAGATTTTACTATTGTCATTTTTGCTGTGTTACCAAGATTGGCCTTGTACTCCTGGGCTCAAGCCATGATCTTACCTTCTAAGTTCCAAGTAGCTGGAGCTATAGACATGGACTGCTATGTCCGGGACCTTTATAGTGTATATACTTTTATAGATATATTAAAGATTTAATATATCTGAAATCACATTTGAACTGGGCTATATAAGGTAATAGTACTTATTTTCCCCAGAACCAAATAATATATTGTTTCTCCATTGATTTGTGGTGCTCAACTCATCTTATTTTAAGTTCTAGGATATCTATGACTCTGCTCTCTGCTTTCTATTCTATTTCTTTGGTTCACATACATACTTCTAGACCAGCAGCATAGTGCCTTTTGTGTGCAATCTTGAGGTATGTTCAATACATAGAAGGGTAAATCTTAGACCTTTGTTTTTCCTTTTCAATTTTGACTTATATATTTATATATCTTTATCCTTTAAGATAAATCTTAGAATGAATTTGTTTAGTTTCTTAACAACTCTGGCTAAACTCGCCAATGGAACTATTTTGATTTTATGTATTAGTTTGAGGAAGATCTATGTTTTTGCAGTATTAAATTGTCTCAATCTGTGCATGGGATATATGTGCATTTATCCCACTCTTTCATGTCTTTTAATAGACTTTCATGGTTTTCTCCATAAGGTTATGTGGCTTAAATTAAAAAAATTATCTTTAAGTAGTTGTACAGAGAAGTTACCATTCAGCAAAACAGTGTTATGAATATAGTGTATCTTTGGCAGTATTAGGAGTTTGAATTCAAGGTTTTGTGTTTGCCAGATGGATCCTATACTGCTAAGCCATACCCCCTGCCCTGTTTTCCATTGTTTATTTTTAGGACAGGGCCTCACTGCTCACCCTGCTATGCAGAGATTGATGCACCTGAGCCTTAATCAAGCCATCTTTTAGACTTCCCATTGTGGCTGGGATCACAGCCACAAGTCAGCACATCTTGCTTCTGTTCTGTGGAGAATGAGTATTGTGGACATTTATACTGGGGCTGGCCTAACACCTTATGAGTCTCCTGTGTAGTTTGGGATAGCAGGTGCATGATACTGCACCAAGCTATTGGTTGAGAAGGGATCTCACAAACCTTTCTGCCCAGGCTGAACTTGAACTTCAGTCCTCCAATTCTCAGTCTCCCAGATAGCTAGGATTATAGGCATGAGCCACTAGTACTTAGCTTGTGTCTTTTTCTTTTTTATTGTTATTATAAAGATGATGAGGTTGTGTCTTAGTCTTTATGTTTATTGTAAGTACTTTACTGTCTTGGTTATCTTTGAGAAATGGTATTTTATTTCTTTTCTTCCTTTTATTGTTGTGCTGGTCCTGGGGGTTGAAGTCAGAGCCTCATGATCTTGCTTGGCTTTTTCACTCACTCTGCTTGAGCCACATTTCCAATTCTTGCTGGTTAATTGGAGATGGAGTCTCTTGTATTTGTCTGCCTGGGCTGGCTTTGAACCTCAGTCCTTAGATTGGATCCTAGCCTTCTGAGTGGCTAAGATTGTAAGTGTGAGCCACTGGCATCTGGCTAAAACAGTATTTTATTTCTGATATATTTCCTACTTGATTATTTCGCATGTAGAGAGATGGCAGTAATTTTTGTAAGATGATTTTGTATTCCAGTCTGATGACCTGTTTTTGTGTGCTGCTTTGATTAGTGTTTCTCTGTAAATTATATTATCTGAGGGCAATGAAACATATCTATTTCATTTCTGATTGCTTTTTAAATTTCATATGTTGATTATTCTGTTTAAAAGTGGACTATTTGCTGAGCAGTTTTAGGTATACAAAAAATCAACCAGAAGTATAGAAAAATTCTCATATGTTCTTTCATTGCCCTAAGTTTCCACTATTAGTAACACCTTGCACTGGTGTTGTGCATTTGTTAGCTAATGGATCAATGCCAAGACATTAAGAGTATTAGAATGGATAGTCCACTTTCAGCTTCACTCTGTGTGTTGAATTCTGTGGGTTTTGCTCAATGCATACCCACTCTTATGTATCATTCAGAAGAGCTTCATTGCACTAAGAAAAACCATGGGCTCCATATATTCTTCCTTACCCTGACTCTCTATCTTTGATGACCACTGATCTTTCTAATGTCTGTAGTTTTACCTTTTCTGGACTGTTACATAGTTGGAATCATGTATGTAGGCTTTTCAGACTAACTTCTTTAATTTAGTAACACATGCATTTAAGACTCTTTTATTTTTTGCTATGGCTTGATAGTGCATCTCTATCGAATACTATTTGATTGCATGGATGAATTCATTTGTTTATTCAGTTACCTATTGAAGGACACTTTAATTCCTCTCAAGTTTTGTGAATTGTGAATAATCCTGATGCAAACATTCACATGCACCTTTTGGTGTGTCCCTAAGTTTTTAATTCCTATGAGTAAATATCTAGAGATACTATTGCTGGGCTGTATGGTAGTGGTATGTTTAGTTAAGAAATTGCCAAACTCTCTTCCAGAGTGGCTGTAACATCTTGTATGTCCACTAGCAATGAATGAGAGTCCCTGTTGTATTCCACAGCAACATTTGATATTAGTGTTTTGGATCTTAGTCATTAAGAATTCTCTGTATATATTAGATACAAAGCCCTTATTAGATATCTGTTTTCCAAAGATTTTTTCTATGAGGATTTTGCTTTTCATTCTTTTTTTTGGTGATATTGAGATTTGAACTCAGGGCATTGGGCTTGGTATGTAGGTGTTCTATCATTTGAGTCACACTCCCAAACTCTCTCTTGTCTTTGTAACTTTTTGTTTTGTTTTGTTTGGTGCCAGTCCTGGGGCTTGAACTCAGGGCCTGGGTGCCATCCCTGAGTTTCTTTTCCTAGTGCTCTACCAGTTGAGCTACAGCACCACTTCTGGCTTTTTCTGAATAGTTGGAGTTAAGAGTCTTCATGAACTTTTCTGTCTTGGCTAGCTTTGAATTGCGATCCTCAGATCTCAGCATCCCGAGTAGCTAAGATTACAGGCATGAGCGATGAGCACTCAGCTCTTTGTTACTTTTTGAATAACCTCTCATGTGTATACCTAGATCATGATCCACCTATTTATGTTTCACATGCAGCTAGGATGACAGGAGTGTGACACTGCTCCAGCTGTTGAGATGGGGGTCTCAAGTTTATGCTTGAGTTAGTTTGGAACCACTATTCTCCTGATACCAGCTTCCTGTGTAGTAGGTCAACAGGCATGTACCACTGCATCTTGCTATTGGTTCAGATGGTAGGATGTCTCAAGTTTCATCCCTAGGCTGGCCTCAAATTGCAATCCTCCTGTTCTCCACCTCCTACATAGTTAGGTTTATAGAAGTTGTCCACCAGTACCTGGACTCTTTTCATTCTTTTAATAATGTTTTCTGTAGAGGAGAAGTTTTTTTTTAATTTAATGAGGTCAGCTTATCAATTTTTTCCCTTGTGGATTGTGTTTTTGATGCTGTATCTAAAACCCCATTTGCCAAACCCAAAATGACCTAGTTTTCTTTTCTATGTTTTCTTCTGGAAGCTTTATGGCTTTGCATTGTGCATTTAGGTATGTGATCTATTTTCAGGTATTTTTTGAGGGGGTAAAAGCTTTTTGCATGTGGTAGCTAGCATTTCCAGCAGTATTTGTTGAGAAGACAATCCTTTCTCCATTAAGTTTCTTTCACATCTCTGTTAAAGATCACTTGACTATATTTGTGCAGGTCTATTTTTGGACTCTCTATTGTGTTCCATTGATCTATTTTTCTATTTTTCACCAATATCACACTGCTATGATTACTGCAGCTGCTTTTTTAATTTGTTTTATAACCTTGCATTTATGAAAAAGGATTTGTGATAGATTGTAATTTCAGTTACATGGGAAATAAGACAATTTTAATAAAAAGATAAAAATCACATAAAATGATTGGTTCTTCTGCCAGAGGCTCCATTCTTCCAAAGCGGGAGCAGTCCTAAAATGGAACAGCTACGGCAGAATTATCACAAGGATGACTGGGCTGGCATCTGGACTTTTTAACTGGTGACCTTTAACTGACAACATTGAAAGTCATAGGCTTAGATAGAGAAATACCAAGGATACGTTATCCTTAAGTATTATTTTTCTTTACATTTGTGGTAATTGGTTTTTCAGTTGTATTGCTAGTGTGTATAGTTTATTGGAATTATATCTTAATGTTTAAGATATTTAAGATATATTTTGGTTTGATTGTCATCACCACCCAAAAGGTAATATAGTTCAGATATTTGATTTTATTTTATATCACTTGTGGTACTGGGGGTTAGATACAGGGCCTTACCCTCGTGGGCACTCTACCACTTGACCTACATTAAGAAATAGAAATATGTATATATGCAAATCTGACCCTATTTTGTTTTGCATTTTTTTAGGTCAATGATGCTTTCCTTCATGTGATACAGCGCAAATCCACTGGCAAGGTGCTTCTGTCTCTTAAATAATCCTCACCTCAGCAACAAACTCAACATGATAACTCAAAATTCATCATCTTCCCTCCAAACTTGAATTTCTTACTGACTCATCTTTAAAATCTTAGGGATCAGTCACCTTTGGTTCTCCTTTCTTATTGCAGAACCAATAAGACCAGAGAGGTTATTGCCCAAACTTGTGCCTTTTTGAGAGTAATTATCTTCCCCCAAACCAAGATGTGTTGTCTGGATGTATAGCAACAATTGCTAACTGTTATTCTCGCCTTTTATATATTACTCCCCTCTATACCATCTTCCCTATTCTAATTATGCATCATCATCGATTTCCAGTGACTGCTATTTTTTAAAATAAGATTTTTATTGTGAAAAATACTGTACAGAGGGGTTACAGTTACATGAGCAAGGTGATGAGTACATTTCTTATCAAGCATTGCTGCCTCCTCCTTTGTTTCTCCCCTACCATCCCTTCCCTCCCACCTCCTCAACTACATTCCCCTCCCCCACGCCTAAATTGTAAAGTTCGTTTTTCAACATACTGTCTTGTACATCTCATTGTTGCAATGGGTCAACCTGCATCCCTATTTAAACATTTTGTTTTTTCCCTTCCCCTCCCCAAATTATACCAACATCAAATACAGTGAAAACAGGGGTTAGACTGTGGGGGAAGAACATACAAAACAACAAAAAAAATCACATGGTACCTTATAAATACGTTAGAAACAATAGCAAGAAAGAAAAAACCACTTGTGTCCCTATCTTGGGGTTCATTCCGCTTCTTCATCTTATCTGACCTTTTCTGCTTGAGTGACTGCTAGTTTTAAGTGAATGTCTTGCCCTTAAGTTTCTTCCATTCTCTCCATGTTACACATGATTCCCAAAGCACAGCTCTCCCTATCTCTTGACTTGGAAAACCTCCAGTGGCTTACCATTACCTATGTGGGGGAGTTCACACCCTTAGCGCCATTGCATTATGACTCTAATTTACCCTTTTACACATTTTTCAGCACTGTGATCCATCAGTCCCTAAACATACTCTGCCTCCCTCATTTTTTCCACAATACAGTCTCTCTTTCCCTTTATCTCTGCCAGACATAAGCCTTTCTTACCTCTAAGGCCTACATTCCCCATGCACCTTTATCCCCAGGGGAGTATAACTTTTAGCTTCAACTTCAGGATTTGTCACATTCTAATTTGTCACGGGAAGAATCATGTGCAAGAGAGTAGACACAGGCATCTGAATCCAGGATGTGGGTTTGAATTTCACCTTCACTACGATGAGGTGGCCACTAAGGGTTCTATACTCTTTTTCTCACTGTAACGTAATGTGGGTATTACATATCTACCTCACAGAGTTATAAGCAATGCATGCAGTAGTTGGGTAAAGCACCTGGAGGCAAAGTAGCAAATGCTAATTCCTTTCACTTCTTTCTCTCTGCTTTTCCTAATGTGTTGTTCGTTCTTTGAGAGCAGGTACCATGTTGGCTCACCTTTGTGACTTCTCCCCCTTCCTACCATAGTGAGTTACTCTTAGTAAATATGCAACACATGGAATTGCAACTGAATTACATTCAAGTCTAAAATTGTGGATTAAATTAAGATTATATTGTGTCTGGATTGGGATGTGGGTACTAGTAGGAGGGGGACAAATGAATAGAGAAGGGGAAAGAGGCTGAACATTGTGATAATAATCTATGTATATGCATGAAAATGGAACAAAGATGATGAGACTTGGGAAGAGGAGGAGGGAGAATGATGGAGGAGATAACTGATCAAGATGTATCTATAAATGGACATGTCAAGATGCAACGTAATTGTACAACTAATTGATGCTAATAAAAATACTGTCTTGCAAACAGCTCAAATAAATATCAACAGGGGAATGAATAAATAAAATAAAATGTGCATACTTTGGATTATATTTCAATCTTTAAAGCTAATGCAATTCTGATATATGTTACAACATGAACCTTGAGGACATTCTGTGTGAAATATGCCAGACACAAAAGACAAATACGCTTGATTCCCCTTAATTGAGATACAGAGAATAGTTAAACTATAGAGACAGACAGTAGAATAGTAGTTGTCAGAGATCATGTTGGAGTAAATCTTAGTAAATCTGTCAACTTCTTTCAGGAAGTTATAGTTATTTAACTATTACAAGTTGAAAATATTGTAAGGCAAAATACATTCATCTAATTTCCTGAACCTCACAGATTAGTAACTCAGTACATGGTAGAGTAATAGTGCTTCAAGAGAGAGCACTATACTATGTATTGTTAGCACAGGAGAAGATCAAATACCAAAATTCTAACAGAAGTTCTCCTAAATGCACATCACTTTGACATCATCATGAAATGGAAACATCCTACATCAAACCATCATAAGTTGAAGACATCTGTACCATGTTTAGTATCCAGTAAAAGTGTAGGACCTCTCCCCTTAGACCAGGACACAGAAGACACGGGGCCGCTTCAGTCTAAACTCAGCACCTTATCCACACTGGGTTCTGCTCACTTAGAAGTAAGAGTGATGTTTTGAGTTTCTCCTCTCCTATCTCTCTTTCTTTCTCTCTCTCCTTCCTTCCTTCCTTCCTTCCTTCTACTGGGTTCTACTTACTTAGAAGTAAGAGTGATGTTTTGAGTTTCTCCTCTCTCCCCCCCCTCCTTTTTCTTTCTTTCTTTCTCTCTCTCTCTCCTTCCTTCCTTCCTTCCTTCCTTCCTTCCTTCCTTCCTTCCTTCCTTCCTTCCTTCCTTCCTTCCTTCCTTCCTTCCTTCTACTGGGTTCTACTTAGAAGTAAGAGTGATGTTTTGAGTTTTGAGTCTCTCCTCTCCTCTCTCTCTCTCTCCTTTTTCTTTCTCTCTCCTTCCTTCTCTCTCCCTCTCTCTCTTTCTTTTTTCTTTCTTGTTTGAACTCAGAATCTCATGCTTGCTGGCACATACTCTACTATTCTGAGCCATGCCCCTAGGGTTTTTTCTTTAGTTATTTTTCAGATAAGATCTAGTGCTTTTTGCCCAAAGATAGTCTCAGATGGTGATCCTCCTATCTCTATCTCTTGCCTAGCTAGGATTACAGGAATGAACTACCAAGTATGACTTACTTACCTATTTGTGTTTATATTATTATTGCTCAAGGCTAATACTCTGTCACTTGAACCACAGCTGTATTTACAGCTTTTTTTCCTACATAGTCTAGCTTTGAACTGTGAGATCCTCAGATCTCAGCCTCTTGAGTAGCTAGGATCAAAGGCATGAGCCACAAGTGCCTAGCTTTGTGTTTTATTTTTTTTTTTTTACAAATGGCTTTGCTAACATAATTATAGTAAAGTTTTATAGTCATCAAAAGAATCAAAGTACACAGCAGTTTATGAATAGCAATTGTTATTTTATTTCTTTAAACCCCTGTCTCATTCTCATTCTCTGGGGAAAGCACTGAAAGTAGTTGGTCTTTTTTTTTCAGTTTACTTTGTTGTTATTATAAAAGTGATGTACAGAGGGATTACAATTACATGAGTCAGGTAATGAGTACATTTCCTTTCATATGTCTTCCATTCCCTCACTCTCTCCCAAAAGTAGTTAGAATTAAAGAACTTTAAAATCACACACATACATATGCATTGAGTTTTAAAAAAGGGAAATATGTATGTACTTTAAAAGTATATAAATATATATATATGCTTAAAATTTATACATATATTTTCCTAAAAATATTATGCATAATATTCTGTAATGTACTAGAGAGAGAGAGAGAGAGAGAGAGAGAGAGAGAGAGCGTGTGTGTGTGTGTGTGTGTGTGTGTGTGTGTGTGTGTGTGGTACTAAAGCCCAAGGCCTTGCACATGTCCTACCACTGAGCTATATTCCTAGCCTTAATGTATTATTTTAATCAATAATATATTACTAATATTTACAAATATAATTTCATGCTTATTTTTGCCAGTCCTGAGGCTTGTACTAAGGGCCTGGGCACTATCCCTGCTTCTTTTGCTCAAGGCTAGCATTCTACCACTGAGACATAGCTCTGCTTCTAGCTTTTTTCTGTTTATGTGGTACTGAGGAATCGAACCTGTGGCTTCATGCATGCTAGACAAGCACTCCACCACTAAGCCACATTCCTAGCCCTAACCTCGTGCTTTCTAATAGCTGGCTAGTATTTCATGCAAGGGATGCACTCTATTAGTAACTTTTGGGTTCCATGCATAATTATATCCTTAATATTATTCACAATAAGTGGTTATTCACATAGACATTTACTGATCTGCCTTTAAATGGCATCCTAGCACAGCACAAGGAGCTCTGGCGAGCAGATCTACGAACCTATTGAGAAAGAAGAACATTAGTCAAGTACCCAGAACCATGCTACATCAGGGTCAGGTAAAGTATCATGAGTGCCTCCCTTAGGATACTTCCAAGCTTCCATCTGCAGATGGAAACCCATAGGAATTTAAACAGGGAAGAAGGGAGGAATAGCCTAGGATCCTATGGTTAACAAAAGCATGGTGAGTAAAAGAAAATGAAAGAAGCAGAGTGTTATGAGATGAAGTCGGAGGCAGAGACCATATCAAATGGGGATTTGTAGGAGTTTTGACTTCACACCAGAAGCAAGGTGAATGCAACAGCAAGGACACAACCAAATGACATTGTGTGAGAGGTGAAGAGGTGAAGAAGGTGTCCTTTCAAACCCAAATAAAAGATCACTGTAGCTTGGGCTATGATGGTGAAGATGGGAAAGGAGAGAAATAGACGGCCCGGACAGCTGTGTGGGAGATAAAAGTGGAAGGATTTGATGCTGGATTGGAAATAGGGGTAGAGAGAAGGAAAGCCGAAGTGACTCCTAGCTTCCTGGCTATATGTTAGAGAAAAGGAATATTGAATGAGACTAGATTTTGGGGATGGTGTGGTGGTATAACTGAACAGAACATTAACTTTTGTATCTCTTGACATATCTAACTAGTGTTTGGTATCAATTTGTTGTTCATAGGAGAGGTGTAGCCTAGAGGTACAAATATGACAGCCATTTGCATGGAGGAGATATTGATGT